TTGGGGTTTAGGATTTGGAGTTTAGGGCTTAGGGTTTGGGGTTTAGGATTTAGAGTTTAGGGCGTAGGGTTTAGGGTTTAGGGCTTAGTGTTGTGAGGGTTTGGAGGTTTTGGGCTTCAGGTATAGGGCGTATGTGCGAGTTCGAGCATGAGATTTAGGGTGTAGGAGCTACTCCGAGTATTCTGTCTACCTGTGCCCCAAAAGTATGTAAAATAATGGCCTCTAGGGACTATGGGTTTAAGGCAATTGTTTTTACATATGTTGGGTGTTTAGGTAGGGCTTTAGGTGTCGGTGTTAGATGAAAAGTTAGGCTTTGAGTCTGAGGTGGGGACGGAGTTTTGGAGTGTAAGGTTGGGGCGTATGCTTTTGCACGTTTTTTTTTTGGTTTCCGGTATAATTTGTATTTGTAGGCGAGGGGTAGGCATATGGCAACATGCACTAAACCCCAAACTCTAAATCGTGTGTAACTTGTACCGGCAATTATATGGGCTCTCGGGCAAACCTTGTTTATAAGCTGAGCTTGTCACGAACTATGTAGCTAGATTCCAAGCTTCTGAAGCTCTAGGCGACAGACCTTAGGGAAAAGGAAATGGGCTAGGGTTGAGGGTGCCGAGGTGGGTATAGGGTTTTTGGTTTTGGTTAAGGTCGCAGCGCAAGCAGATTTTTCTTTTATTCTGTTCGGGTTTGGTGCTTGATGTTTAGGGTCCATCTTGTTTTGCGGGTTCTTCCAATTTCAAAAAGATGGTCTTGATAAGCTCAACCCTCAAAATGAGGATCCTATCATCAGGACCCTGTTATGGCGGTCGTATGATAGGGTCTTGTTCTTTAGGATTGGGGTTTGCCTAAGCCCTAAACCCTATTAGATTTCCGCCGAAGGCTCCAGTGCGATACGTTCCTGTCTTGACCAAGACAGACTTGTGCCTGGGTCCGTGTTTCATAGTTCTTTATTGGATCAATCCCTCCTCCTACATTGGGTCATTCCCCCTCCCAGTAACTGTCCTTAAAGGGGCCTTATTAAGGGGGTTCTTATAACTCCTATAACCCATCGTGGTAACAGTTACTGTAAGGGGAGATGACCCAACTCCTACAGTAGTAACCCTCAATATGGAGTTAATAGTGCCTGAATATACTTGCAACAGCCCTTTGTGGTACCTATTACTGGGTGGGGGGTTGACCCAAGGTCTATGCTGGAGGCTGTTTAGGGTTTAGGAGTGTAGGGGTCAGGGGTTTAGGGATCTCCTCAGTAGTCCCTACACATTCTACAGGACATCCCTATATAATCCACACGGCAAGACCCTCTGCCTTAGCTGGCAACCACCAGCAATCAGCAAATCTAAGGGCTTAGGGTTCAGGGGTTTTGGGTTTTGGGCTTAGGATTTAGGGGTTCAGGGTTTAAGGTGAGTCCCTCCTACGGTAATAGCCCCTAAATATGGAGTTCATAGGGCCTTAACATACCTACAATAGTCCCTTGGGGATTGATCCAAAGCAAACCCTACAGACCATGGTAGTTCGATCGTTCCATTCCCTCGTAGCCACTGGCTCCATATGGGTTTACGGTTTACGGGTTTGGGGTTCAGGGTAAAGCCCTTTCGAAGAGTAAACCCTCAACCCTAAAGATACCAAAGCACTTCACGCCCCAACAGCCTTACCCCACCTTCCTTCCCTGGTTGCCACCAGCAAGCAAACCCTAAAACCCTAAAGTCTACAGCAGCTTCCAACGTTCCTTTCCCTTGCTACCACCTATAGTTGGAAGGCCCATGATCTTGGGGTTCTGATGATATACCGATTATATACATAGGAAAGCCTTACAAGCCTGAGAAAGGCCTTTGACTGTGACCCCAGAGACAAATAGGAGCCCATATTAAGGGACGTTAGATACCGCTAGTAAGATGGCGCGCTTAACCGTACACCCTAAACCAGAAACCTTAAACCCCCAAAACCCCCAAACCCTAAACCCGAAAACCCTAACTCTAGATCTCAAAAAGCCAATAAAATATTAGGTGGACCCGGCCACCCTGAAATGCTAATACATCGCAGGTATATTTGAGGACCCTAAGATTATCACAGTTACCCCTTATAGTCACTATTACTGGGTGGGGGTCCACCTATACTATCCCTAAACCCTAAGCCCTAAACCGTAAATCCCAAGCCTAAAGTTTACAGGTTCGAGTCGGAAGAGGTTGAAGGCTTCCGGCAAGCTTTGGGCCAGACCCTGTCAACTCTCAAGCAACCGTCGGACGTGATACCCGGTGACAGCAAGGTTTAGGATTTAGGGTTCAGGGTTTAGGGTTTAGTCTTTAGGGTTTTTAGGTTTTGAGTGCTTAAGGGCTTCTTAGGATTTAAGGTTTTGGGTTTCTAGGGTTTGAGTTCTAGGGATTGGGGTTCTGGGTTCTCTGTTTTTTGGACCGTGTTGTTGAATGGTTGTTTCTTTTTTTTGGATTTCTTGTTGCAAGAATTGCCGTTTCCTGTTTGGTGGATAGTTGTTGCTTTCTCTAGCTGTTTTGTTCGGGAAGTCTCTTCATGAATTACTTTATTTGAAGACTTTCAAGGTACATTCCTAGCGCTTGAGCCCCAATCCCAAAACCCCAACTCAGGATAGCTTGCACATCGATGAGCCCTGAGGGAATCGAGGGCTTCCAAGATGTTGTTGGCGAAGCAGCCGCGTGGGCTGATCTGGTTAGGGCTCAGGCTTGGGGTTTAGGAGTTTCGGGTGGATTTAGAGTAGTCTCGGTCCTTTGGAAAGGGGTAGATAGGAGTTAGGCCGTCGTTGTGCAGGAGTTTAGGTCTAAGGATTTAGGTTAGGGGTTAACTCCCCTGAAACCTCCCCAAACAGGAATGCTATTGAGTCACACGGTTCATGGACAAAACCGTGCAGATCCCGAAGTCTACCCTAGTGCCATTTTTCCAAAGGTGTGTATATATATATATATAGATATATACATATAACATATATATATATATAGGTGAGGCTTACGCAGGATTGGTCCATCACATTAGCCCCTGCGCGCTGCCATCTAGTCTCCCCCAAAGAGTCATAGTCCTTTTGGAGATAAGGTGGGGCTTATAGGGTTTAGGGGTAACCTCTAGTAGGAAGAACGGAGATTCAAATGGAACATCAAACTGAAAATGACATGCCGGAGGTAGCCCACCCCCCCAAACTGAGACACGCAGCAATCACATGACAAGAATAGGCTCCTTGTTTTGGGGGTGGGGTTACCAAGATAAAGCCCTTTCTTTACCCCCTAGCTTCTGGAGGAGCATTGTCAGTACTCGTAAAACTGTCGCATCACAGACCCCGCATCCCTCAATTTAATTATTAGGAACCTACATGACAAGTCCTATAAGCCCTCTAAAAAACCACTAACTTCCATTCCATGTCCCATTTTCATTTCTGGGTCCTTGTCCCACAAACCCCTAAACTTGAAGCCTTAAGCCCTAAACCCTACATGAGGATTTTCCAAAATTAGGGGTACAATCTTTGGGGTCCCAATTTTCAGGATTTTAGTATATTGGGGTCTATATGGCGCTACCACATGACCCTAAACCCTAAACCCTTAAACTCAGGCCCGAAGAGGTTGGGACAGCCTAGACGAGTGGATTTCTGACGCCCAGAGGACCGGAGTTGAGGGTTTAGGTTTAGGGGTTTAGGGTCTTAGGGTTTAGGGTTTAGGTTTTGGGGTTTAGGGTCTTAGGGTTTAGGGTTTAGGTTTTGGGGTTTAGGGTCTAGCTTAAAATCCTTTAAACCCTGAACCCCTAAACCCTAAATCCCTTAAACCCTAAAGCCCTAAACCCCTAAAGCTCTTGACCCCAGAGCCCTAAAGCTCTAAACCCTGAACCCTAAAGCCCTAAACCCGAGATTACATCGCCATCCTCTAGGATGAGTCGCCCTCCTTCCGGCAGAAACAAGGTGGACCGACGACAAGCTACTGGCTGGTTTTGATGGTTGGGGGTTGATGGTTTAGGGATTAGGGATTAGGGTTAATGACTAAGGCTTGGGATTTAGGGATGCTTAGGGTGAAATTTGGTGATATTACCACAGAAATGGAGAATCAAATGGAAGAAAACAGGGAAGTTTCTTGGAAACTACTGTTTGGGGTGTGGGATTGAGGGCATAGGGCTGTTGTTGAGGGTTTGGAGTTGTGAAAGGAAAATATAATCGAAGCTACGCACGGTTACATATGTCATTGCTCAGCGTTTCTGGTTTGGGGCTGAGGGCTTCGCCCTAACCTGAAAAGGAGTTTAGGGCTTGAGGCTTAGGATTGGATTTTACGGCGCAGGGTTAGCATGCAAGGCGGAGGAGGGTTTAGGGCTACCGGCCCTAAATACCCTAAAGACCCTGAACCTTAAACCCTAAATTTCAAACAATCCATGCATAACCCGCGTATAACCTTCATATAAGCCCTCTATAACCCTTACATAAACCCTATTCCGCGCTTCAGTGCTGCCCTTGGAATCTTGATCAGGGTTGCAGCCCTAAGTGTGTATCTCTGGGTTTTCAGGAGCCTTTTCAGGAAGCCTAGGGAGCCATATTGACCATATAAATAAATAGAAATAAATGAAGAGATAAATAGAGAGAGAGATATCTATATGTATATATATATATACATATACACGGACGGGGTTTACGGTGTAGGGTTTAGGGCTATATAATGTGTGTGTATAGATATAGATATCTATATTGGGGCCACATTGGGCCAGCTTTTTCACAGGCACGAGCCAGGAACTTTTCCGATAGAGTCTCTTGAGTCCTACGTTGTCAAAGTGTAAGCCCTAATTAAATCGTAAACGCTACACCTACACCCAGCTAAGCTGGCAACCCGGGAAAAGCCCTCTTGGCACTTTCTTGTCCTGTATATCCCCCCTAAACCCTCAAATCTAAACAGAACCCTATGAACTCCCATGTGGCAGTTTCCCAAAATCAGGGGTACCCAGTTTGGGGTCCTTATAATAAGGACTATAGTATTTGGGGGTCTATATTGGGATCCCCCTATTTAGGGAAACTGCCATGTTGGTTGGGGAGGGTGAAGCTGCTTTGCGCACCTTTCGCGCGGCGCATCGTCAGCGAGGCATGACGGCTTCACAAGACAGAAAGAAAGTTGGGGAGGGTTCAGTGTTTAGGGGCCCAAGAGGGTTTAGGGTTTAGTGTTTAGGGTCACCCGAACCCCAAACCCTAAACCAAGGTTAAACAAGCGTATACATCCACAGCAAAGCGATCTGCCAATCGACCTGCTCGCGGTGGCAAGGGTGCTCGTACCTTCCTGCCGCCGCGCGTGTGACATATCTATGCAGTTTAAAGGATTGGTTCCAATTGGTTGTTTAGTTTTTAGGGTTTCCGAGAATTCGGTGTTCTTGTGGTACGGAAATACAGGAGATCAGGAGACATCAGAGAGAGGTGGCAGCAGGGGCTACAACAGTACTTCAGGGGCTTCGGGCTTAGGGTTTGGGGTGAGGCTAGGATGAGGAAGACAGTTGCCTCATATTTCTTGTTGAAGCATAGAACAGCATAGTATAACATACCCCCCAAACCACATACAGTGCCGATTTCGCGCGCCACAGAAGGATCCCGATATTTAGCGGCTGTACAAGTACAGCTGGCGTTTCCTTTCACCTTTTCTTTTCCAATGGATTCTCGACTGTTCTAATAAACTCCAATGTATCCCTATCTACTTACGTGCCCTCTACATCCTCTAAACCCTAAGCCCCTAAACCCTCAACCCAAAACCTAAAACCCCCTACACCCCTACTATCCCTCTGAAGCGATCCTACTCTCCCTGTTTCGGAAGCTACGGTAGCCGGGATCTGGTGCGCGTGTGGTGGAGTCTTGCCTTTGTGAAAATGTTGATGCGTGCTGCACAGGGAAGGTTTAGGGTTTAGGGTTTGGCTTATTTAGGGTGTAGTGACCACATGGACTGGGGTCGTGGGGTCATATAGTCCGGGGTATAGGGGGTACTATGGATCATGTCACCCCAATTGCAGAGTTGGGGCCCTTAGATCATATTACCTCCAGGATCTAGGGATTTCTCTAGGGTCATATTACCCAGATAGATGGATTGGGATCAGTGTATGACATTACCCTAGGGCTTAGGGACTGGGGGTCAGTTAATCCCTTGGTTTAGGGACTTCTACAGGGTCATACTAAGGGGTGTAGACAGGATCATACCACCCCAGTAATGGAGAATCAAAAGAGGAAACTGGCTTTATATGGGGGTTGGATGTGGAGGGTTGTCAAAATCAGTTTCTTTGTCTGGGTACCCTAATATTATACTCAGGAATTTATTACAACCCACCACATGTGTTCTTGCCTGTGAGAGCTGGTCCCTCTGCAAACGAAGCGAGGCCTAAACGCAGTCAGATTGTGGTTTGGCTAGTTAGTGTCAATATTTTTTGATGTAGCTGTAGCTATGACAGCTATGAAGGAGTTTCCAGAAATTGGGGGCCCCGACCCGAAACCTTAAACCCTGAAACCCTAGACCCATTCCTTAACCTGAACCCGAAACCTAGTCAGGCTCCTCCTTGAAAGGTTCCTTCTCATCATCCTAGGACTAAACAGTAATTGTTTGTTTCTACACGAGTTGTATTGGTTTGGGGATTAGGGTCTCCCAAACCCTACACCTTAAATGTTTTAGTGCTGAAGTCAGATGAGAAAAATCCATTGGGTATAGAAACACAAAACCCTGGGTACTGCCCCCCCCCCCCGGGTAACTGTTGGATAATAGTCATAATATGGTTATATATAGCCCTTAATAGGACCCCTAATATAGACCGCTACTGCGTGGGGGCAGTACCAGAACTAAACCTTTTTCTTTTTTTTTTTTTTTTTCGAGGTTTTGCAAGCAAGCCAAAGCCCCGGTCACTTCAGTTCCCTAACCCCTGAAGCTTCCCTTGCAGCCACTATATACGTAATCCCTATAGGGGTTTCCCAAAGTTAGGGCTGCCTTTAAAGGGGGATATAGGGATTATACTATGGGGTAATTTAGGGCTGTATAAGGTTCAGGGGGAATCTGGTTTAGGGTTTATATCAAAGCACAAAACACTAGTAGCTTCAGGCCAGCAATCAAGAGACGCAACTTGAATTGTCTTGTCCATCTCATTCTCCCTACTTGTTCCCTAAACCTGCGAATATTCCTCGGCAGCGCCCATATTAACCCTGAGAAACCCTCTATATCCCTATAAACCCTAAACCCTAAACGGAACAGTTCCCGTGCCAGCAGTGCCGCGTGCCGAAAGCCTAGAACCCCAAACCCTAAGCCATACATACCCATAATCCCTATATCCGTAAGAAACCCTACATACTCCCATCACCCCTATCTCCACAAGAAACCTTACATATATCTATCCTATATCCCTAAGAAACCCTGTGTATCCCTGACATTCGGATATCCCTAAGAACTCCTATATATCCCTATAATCCCTAAGAACCCATATATAGTTTCCTATAACCCCTATATACCTGTGATCTTATCCTAAGGCTTGTATGCGCTACGGCCCCAAGGTCTCGTCTGAGTAATGGACGGGGTTCCATTAGGGAACACGTCTGGGGACATGTTAAACTGCTGGCGGTGGCTCGAACCTTGAACCCTGGAGAAAGCATTGGGGGGTGGTATATCTGGAGGGTCCGCCAAGGGGGAATGAATGCTTGGTAAGGGTTCAATCTATTAAGGAACTTCCGCAGGGTAGTATCAGCCCTAAAGCCCCAAGCCCTAAAACCACTAAGCCCTAACCCCCCCCTAAACCCTAAACCCTGAACCCCTCCTAAGCCCTAAACCACTAAGCCCTAAACCCCTCGAGCCCGAAGGCCTGTAGCCCGGGCTTGACAGATCCTGAATACTAACCAAACAGAGCTCAGCAATCTACGTGGGTTGGTGTCAGAGAAGCTGAAGCCTACAGGGGGGGGGGGTTCAGGGTTTAGGGCAGAGTTAGTTCCAGTTCAGGCAAAAGTCCTCCTTAGGTAGATAGAATATGGGTATATGAGAATCTTATTATGCTATGCCCAAAGCCACATTCTATCCACTCAAGCGGGATTTTACAGATCCTCAGCCCTGAGGTCCTTTGTTGGTTCTAAGAGCCTAGAACTGCTAAGCTTTCTCCCTCGGAGCCCAAACCCCAAGTTTCCTACATCCTAAAACCTCAGCCCGAAACCTTGAACCCCGCCGCAAAGGCCATCACTTGCTGTGTGGATCTGGACCGGCTCGCAATCACGTGCTCGGAACAGGGTTTAGGGGTTTAGTGTGTAATTTGGCATTTTGGAGTTTAGGGTTTGGGTTTAGTGATTTAGCATTGTAGGGTTTAGGGTTTTGGGTAGTCAGGGTTTAGTCTGAGGAATTTCTAGGTGTGTAGTTTCCCCCATATTGGCCTTGCATAGCCTTGGATGTTCCTAGTCTCCCCATATAGGCCTTATTTATGACTTTGTAGGGGTAACTCCCCATCTGGAATCTCCCCTAGTTTGGGGTCCAGGGTTGAGGGTTTACCCATTTCCCAGACTAACATACACCCCGAGAAAAGGGAGCCTTCGAAGACTGCTGTCCTTTGGGGGCAATATGTTGTTAAAGCCTCAAACGGTAAACCCTAAACCCTAAACCCTAAACTTAAACCCCTTTTTTCGAGCAGGCGTAGAAGTCGGAAGGGGCAAAAAATGAAGGGGCTCATGGTTTGCAACTCCGGGCTGGCGTCCGAAGGTCTGGCTGGCAACAGACGGCTTACAGTCTCGTGAAAATGTGACGATACTAGAGTTCATTATAGTTGGGGCAGATTGGTTTAGGGTTTCATTACTGGAGTTCATTACAATTGGGTTGCATTAGGGTTTTAGGGTTTTAACATTAGAGAATTGTGGTTGGGTCACTTCAGGGTTTAGGGTGTAGCATTTTAATGCTAGAGTTCATTCATTGGGGTACATTAGTATGTTAGAGTCTAGTATATAGTATGCTGTTAATCCAAATGAGCACATGTTGCGTGCCTTGCACAATCATGGCTTACAGTGCCGGTGCGCAAACCCTAAACCCTAAAACCTAAACCCTAGACCCTACAACCCAAACCCTAAACCCTAAACCCGAACGGAATTAATGGAAGTTTCCAGGCTGTGTGCCGATGAATGACCCCGGGTAGTTCCCAAAACTAAAGGTACCTTTAAAGGGGGATATAAGGGTTTCATAGGGGTATTTAGGGTTTAGGGTTTCGGGTGAGGGGTTTAGGGTTAGTTAAACTAGAGTCCCATTTTGGCACCGCTTAACATGAGGCGTCGCAATATAGTTTGTATCCAGAAGGGGCCCACATAATTTTGAGAAAAAACCCCATGATCGCATGTAGCCAGATCTGCCGGGGTTTTATAACACATGTGTGAGAGTCTAAACTCCTTCACGAGGGTTCTATAGTGGAGTATTACAGGTGTTATTAAGGTGGGATACTATGAGTTAAGATTATAGCTCATGTAACGTTTCAGGACTTTAAGTTGCACAGTGGCTGAACTTACTTGCCCTAAACCCCTAACCCTAAACCCCTAACCCTAAACTCTTGACCCTCCAGGTACGTGAAGAACGGGCGGGAGATTCCCGGTGATGTGCTTGCGCTGCAGTAGCTTTGGGCCCTGTTATAACTTTCCAACGCGGGTAAGGGGGGACGGTTTAGGTCTTGGGAATTTCTACGTGCACAGTTTCCCCCATAAAGGCATTACATAGCCCTTGTATATTCCTAGTCTCTCCAAGCCCGAAACCCTAAAGCCTACCCTATGTGAAATGATAAAACCCATAACCCTCGTACCCTAAACCTTGAAGCCAATAAAACCATCCAGCCGAGGCTTTCAACTTGAGCAAGGATCTGCATGGTTGGGCCTTGTTTCCCCACGCCAGGCACTAAGCATCTGCGGTGCATAGCGTTTAGAGATAAGGGCTGAGGCTAGAAGGAGATTGTTTTTTTTGAGGTTTTGGGGTCTAGCGGCTTCATATGGGGATATGGAATGGAAAGGACAGAGGAAGATACCAACATGCTTAGGGCAGAGGTTCCTAAATTGTTGAAGGGTGGAAGGACATGTAACGTAGAAGCCCGAGGAGTCAACAGCACCACTCGCTTGGGTTCTGGGTAAGAGGATAGTAGGGTCTGCTGCCCTTAAACCCTTGGTTTAGGGTTTTAAGGGTTTAGGGCTGCCCTCAAACCCTTGGTTTAAGGTTTTAAGGGCTTAGGGTTTAGGAGTTAGGGGTTTAGAGGTTTAGGAGTATACCCCTAGGCTCTGTTCCGCTTAAAGAGGCCCCCACATGACAATCCCTACACAGACCCGGCATAATCC